CTATTTCTTTTACCCTTACACTCTAGAGATGGTGGACCTCTTAGAGACGAGTGCCCAAACTGCAACCAAGAACCCACTTTTTCATTGCAAAGTCCCAATGCTGCATGCAATTAAACCTGAATACTGAGGTTTTAAAGAAAAACAAACTTGGCCCAGGGATTTAGCTCAGTGGTTCTGGCACCTACCTTGAAAGCGCAAGTTCCTGAGTATGATCCCCGGTACCAAAAAAAGAAAAAGAAAGAGAGAGAAAGAAGAAAGAAAGAAAGAAAGAAAGGGGGGGCAGGGAGAAAAGAGAAGAGAAGAGAAGAGAAGAAAAGAAAAGAAAAGAAAAGAAAAGAAAAGAAAAGAAAAGAAAAGAAACTACATGCGTGCCATAGGGTCCACCACCACTGCTCTAGAGAGTGGAGCCTGAAGGGGGTAGGGGTCTTTTCTGCATCCTATCTGGGAGAGACTGTGTTCCTATTTTTGCTCCCATTGTTTTGGGCAAAATTTATTGGAATGATTTGCCTTTCTGTAATTCTCCTGCACTTACAAATCTGTAAGATTTATAAGCTTTACTTAACCTACAAGGGCCTCTGTCTTCTCCCATTCTCAGCTCAATATCGAACTCCTCCTTAAATATTATTAGGCTACTCAGGGCTCCATCTTCTCCACATCTCTAATTTCAGGTTGGTTTGACTCCATCATATTGTTTCCTGTGTGTGCACCATTCATGGAGGCATACTACAGACTCTGTGTGAGGCTTTGCACACAGTAGTCAGGCATGCCAGCTTTAGTATCAGACATATATTTTGATTCTGGCTCTAATTAGCTGAGTGTCTTTACCCAAGCCAATTAACTTTAAACCTCTTTTATCTCTACTGTAAAATGGAAATAGTTTTTTTAGATCTCCTCATGAGGATGTTGGAAGTTAAATGAGATAATGTAGATTTTAAAAATCCAGGTGAGTACCTGACTTAATAGAGAAAAGCTCTGTCATTGTTATCACCTCGTTTAAGGCAGGCAGGCAGGCAGTAGAGTATCCACCAGATCAGACACTTGGAGGAGACTAGATTTTAACTGATGTCAGCCTTGTTGATTTGTATATCTTTACTTCTGGGGTCTCCACAGCCCTGCCTCCAGGGACTTTCACTACCAGAATTTTACCAGCTGATTTACCCACAGCAAGGGATTAAGGGGCATCCTAACCCTTTATCTTTTGCTTCACCCAGACTTGTCTTGCATCTGTTTAGAGTCCTAAAGACCTCAGAATGGGCACTCAGTGTACCAGTGCCTGCTGTTACCCTGAGGGAAGGAGAAAGCATCCTTGGATTAAGTTTGCATTCCATTCTGTCCACCACATGGACATCAACTCACCACACCTATGCAGACCTTTGAGAATTATATAGAGTTCTGTTTATTTCTCATGACAATCTGCAAGGAAGCTATTATGTTTCCCATTTCTCTCTTGGGTACACACAGACTGAAAGCAGTGATATAATTTTCTTAAAGTGACAGAGCTTGTTGGTCCAACATAAAATCTTGTATTATTTTCTTAAAATGGTAGAGAAGGTAGACTCTGTCCCATCAGACAGGCCATCCTTTTCATACAGAACAATACAGCCGTCTCCAAGCTGCTGACATATAACTCGATATATCCAGAGGGTCCGAACCTAGGTCCCCAGTGGGCAGCTTACACAGATCCTGGCCCAATGCCTCTAGGCAAAGCCCGGCACTGGCAGATTTGTTTCCCTTCCCTCAGCCTTTGTCCTGCATTCAGCTGTCCTTCTCTCTAAAACAGCCTCAGACTTGAGCAAGGTTGGTAGTGCACACCTATAATCCCAGCACCCTGGGAGGCTGAGGCAGGAGGATCACAAGTTTGAACCCAGGCTGGGCAAATGATGATTTAGTGAGACCTTTTCTAAAATTAAGACAAGACTAAGGACTCGAGGGGTAGGGAGAGGGTTTGTGTTTTGTGCACACAAAAATCTTCCAAAATGAAACCCATGAATCCCTACAACCAATATATAATAATAAACAATGTGGTAAAAAAAATAATTTAAAAACAGGGCTGGGGGTATAGCTCAATGTGAGGATTCTGGTTTCAAAACCTAGTCCTGGAGAAAGAAAAAAAAGGAGGCTGAAACCCTTTCAAGTCTCATCTACCCTCATCCATGGGCAGCCATTCTTCTTCCCACCTTCTTCTCAGAAGGTCGGCACTTAGGGGCCTCTAGAAAGTCACCATGAAAATACAAGTGAGACCAACCTACATGTCCATGAAGAAGAATGGCTTAAGTGTCGGGTATGTGTATTAACAATTAGCCTTCCACTAACTATCTTATTTTTGAAGAAAGTTTAACATCACAGGACAATGCTCATTATGTAAATAACAAATAAAAATCACATTTAAAGTACATATGCCATAGGATCCTAGTTATCTAAATCCATGTGCCTAAGTACAGAAAAGCATTAGAAGGAATACTCTGAATCAGAAAGTTAACAGTGCTTTTTTTCTGGACCAGATGATTTACTTTTAACTTTCTATTTTTCATTTTTTTCTTTGATAAATTTTCTATAATATCCATGTACTCTTTTTAATTAGAAACTGTCTAGCAACTTGGTTCCCACCAAGAGTGCACCTTTTATGAAGTAATAAGAACAAGATTTCAAGGGGAACTAGAAACAATGAGCCTAGCACAACAGAGGCGATTCTGGAAGGATCTCTAAAGTGGATACAGCTTGGGCCACTTTGGAGGAATGGTGAGCCAGCCTAGTAGAGATGGGGGAGAGTACTTCAGACAGAGGAAAATGCAAGTCCAAAGCAAGAAGACAAGAGAAAAAAAAGAAACTCGCTGGGTAACTGGCACTGCAGAGTAGAACTTGAAAAGTTAGATTTTTCTTTTTATTTTAGGAATAAGTGACTTCTCCAAACTTCCTCTTACTGAGACATAACTTCCTCTCCCCAGGCCAAAAGAAGTCATGGAATATGCAGAGGCTGGCCCCACAAGGCCAGAGTCCAGTTTCCTTTCCATTAGAAAAAGGAAAATGAGTTAAAAGTGGCTGGAATCAATAAAGCAACTGTGAAGATCTGCATATCTGTGATTCCCCTCCCCTCTGTTCCTTACTATAAAAGACCCTTATGCACCTGGATGTGGTAAGAAGGTGATTTGAGGCAAATGGGCCCCTCCATCTTCTCAGAGCTGGCTTTGAATAAATCCTTGTTTCTTTTTCCTTTTTTTTTTTTTTTTTTTAACCGAAATAAATGGTCTGCTTAGATTTGGTCTGAAGCCAGCAAACAAACCTGAGAGTATGAACCTAAGTGGCAGGTGGAAGCTGGAGCCTGGTCAGGGCCAAGTTCCGAAAGACAGGGACCAGACCCATAATCTGGCATCCTTATGCACATCCACCTAGCATAGAGTGGACAATGGTGTTTGTTTGTGGAATAAACAGGCAAAAGGGGAATAGCCCACGTTGGCATCTCCATTCACACCTCTCATCACCTCACCCCTATGGGATCCTCTTTCAAATCACACATATTTTAGAAGTGAGACAACTTCAAATCATCATTTGATATCTCCTTTTTTGCTTAGCTCAGATTCGTACGCCAGCCTAGCTCTGGGAGATGAATTCAGGGAGTTGAATAATAAGCCCTAGGGCATGGGACACTTTGGGGTGGATGATCCTTGGTACAATCAGAGGAAAAGCTTGGAATGAGTTTACAGGAAGGAAGGGGAAAGTGGAGGAGTGGCTTACATAAGGATGCCTTTTAGCCTCTCTCCCCTTTGCCGTGAGGTTTATCTCCTTAAGGTGACTGCTTCTAGATGACTGCAGATCTTTCAGCCCCACTCTACTCACTTTCTGCTCTTGAGAGCTCAGTACTGCCTTCTCTCTCTCCTTCTTCCTGAGAAGACTGTGGAGATGGGCGGGGACATCTCAAAGGCTGTGTGGGGTTTACTTCCTTCCTTTACCTTGTCCTTCTCATTTGACCCCACCTCTTCCGCTGTTTCTTTTTATAGTTTGCCTTAAAATCTTCCCTATGTATCTCCCCTTCAACCTTGCTCATTTGCTTCTGCTTCTGTCCCATTTTTTCTAGTCTTAAGATTTGCTGGCACCTGCACTGGGGGAAGAACCACAGGCAGAGATGACAAACAGTAGCATGTCTGATGGTGAGTTTCAATAGTACCTTTCCTGCCCACTTCACTGGGCTGCAGTGTAACCAGAAGTATGGCGTGTCTCACACAGTGTCAGGTACTGAGTTGATCCAGTTTCCCTCTGCTGATCCTTTGGGGAAAGTGATTGATTTCATCACAGATTGAAGAGAGCAGTCATTTTATTGGTCACCTCCATTTTGAGAATCAGAAATGTCCCCAATTCTGAAATGGGGACTACAAATCTGCTGCATCGTGGACTGTGCCTTGACTCATGGCTCCCTCAAAATGTCTTAGGTGAGCAAATAACTTGTTTAGATTCAATGAATTGGAATGAGGAATGTCTGAAATTTCTTAGCCCACAAGTGGAGATAGGGAATCCATTCTTTGGGGCCAGTAATTTCTTCTAATATTCAGTGGATAGGCTGATATAAAGGATCAAATGCTGAATTATCATAAAGGAAGAGGAAGTGGAGGTGGAATATGTGGCATTAAGGCTGTATGAATCTGATTTCCCAGACTTCCTCTCTGAATGAGATCCCACACCTGGATGGGCATCGGCTATAAGCCTCTGAATTGATCAAAGTGATCCTACAAAGTCATATATTCTCTACCACGAAATTTCTGATCATGAACCCCTCTGATTAATGTGGGTCTGTGGTCCTTCTGAGAATCCATTGGAAGATGTGGATCTTTTCCCCACAAAAAGTACTAACACATATATTTTTTTCAATTGTTCTGTTACCATAGTGCTTTCAGATGAAAAAAACTGTAAGACTTCCTCTTTCTGGTCTCTTCCCCCACCTCTCACAAGGGTGCTAGATGTTAAGTAAAGTTCACTGGGTATTTTCCTCTAACCTTAGTGAGTTCTCTTTTTGCCTCTGGTCCCTTTCTAGCCGGGCTGTTGGCTGTGTCTAGCGTTCCTGGGAAGCTCTGGAAAGTAGTATGTTCTCCAGAAGATGGGAATGGTGTTCAGTTCTGCAACTGCTACTGCTGCCTCTCCTGGTGACTGGCATTCCAGGTACTTTCCATCAGTTGCCTGCCTGTGATTGTGCGCGGAAGGCACAGTCCGATGGGAAAGAGAACCTGGGATGTGGCTCAGCCTTGCCAGTGGGGTCCAGTCTCTCATTCTGGAGCGGGGCTGTGGTAAGGTTGGGGAGCCTGTGTTAGACTGGGGAAGCAGGATGTATGTCTTTTCCCAGAGGGGATGTGACAAAAACAGGACCTGGCGAGATGGGGAAGTACTATTCCTGATGGCGGGTGACGTGGGTAGTAAAAAAATTTACAGATATCTTATGTTTTAATCTTTTAGAGAAAGATATAACATTACCTCAGGGGAGGAAAAGATGGTTTTTGTATTTACTTTTATTTTGTGCTGTTTTTAGTCCTCAGTGGAGTGCTTTATGACTGTCCAGTACATACTGGGCAGAAGTGTGTTGTCAGAAGTTTGGGTGCTGAGAATTTTAACCTTCCCGTTACTATAGGAAGTTTTCATTCTGTGGCTGCTGACTTGCAGTGTTCTAGATAAGTGTTTTTGCACTTTAAATATAAGGAATCTGACACTTGCCACATTTTATTCAGACATGTGTTCCCTTAGGTGTTCTTTGATAGTCACTGTCTCAGAAACAGGTAAAAATTGTAGGAAAGAAAACTTGGAAAGCATTGTCCTATCTAAAGTCTCTGAATCACAGTCTGGGAAGAGGCTTAGGGTGCTTCAGTATCAAAGAAACTCCAAAATGTTTGACTGTTAAGCGTTAAGGTCCATTTCATGTGCCGCCAGCCTACTCTGGTTCCCCTTGTGTGCTGAGATATGGGACCACTGGGTTTTTTTCCTGTTACAGATGCCTAACATTCTTTCCTTATCCAGTACCTACAAGTCTTCCAGACCAGATGAGAAGAAAGATTTAAGTTTTTGCCTTTCTTGCTATTCCCCCAAATAAATACTCAGGTTGCCTTCCTTTAAAGAGCTTTAATGCCCAGCATGAAGAAGTTTCACAGCATCAAACATTTATGATGATTCGCAACTTTAGTAATCTTTAGAGGAACCTGATTAATTACTCGTATAGAGCCTCTTAGGGTGGCAGTTGTTTGGGTGTGGCCTGGTTCTGTGTCATTGCAGCACATTGTCTTCAGGGCCCCTTGTAACTGGGCTTTCTGGGGGATGACTGTACTCACAGGAAGTTAGTATGGCCTCTGGAATGGGTATTGATGTGAAGTATTAGTCTAACTGCTGGAAAAGCACAGCTGCCAGGAGAACTAGACTATTTTAAAACTCATTAGATATGTCAAAAACACCTTGATTATTCTCTGATTTTTCCTTTTCTGGTCATTTATTCTCCTTTGGTTGAAACATTCAGGTGATACCTAGTCATGTTAAACAAAGGGTTAGACACCTTGGCCTTTATCAAGGTTCCCCAGGCTGATACCCTCAATCTTTGACTTTGTGTGTTTTTTTTTTTTTTTTTTGGTACCAGGTATTGAACTTGGGTCCTTGCGCTTGCGCAGCAGGTGGCAAAACCACTGAGCTAAATCCCTGGCCCTGTTAATCACATTCTGCCTAAACCTAATTTTGCTGTTTGCCTTGAAAGAAGTGTCTTCTCTCTTACTGCCGGGCCTGTGCACATGTCTCTCTGCCAGTCTGACCTCTGTCTCCAACTCTGTCTCTCTTAACATGCATCCCCTTGCTCACTCCACACCATCCACTCTGGCCTTCTTGTCACTGTTTAAATGTGGCTGACACACCCTGCCACAGAGCCTCTCCTCCAGCTCTTCCCCCTATCTGGGTCACCAGCTCCAGATATCTGCATGGCTTCTTCTCTCCTCCTTCAAGATGTGTCCTACTCATCACCTTGTAAATGACACCTACCCCTCCAACCCCTCCCTCTTATTCTGTTCTAGGCTTTCTCTTCTTCATAGCAGTTGTCACTTCCTAATGAAGAGGCAGTAGTATATTCTTTGAATCGATAGCATTGGTTTTGATTAGGTTATCATCATCCCTTTCTATAATTTAGAGTAATACAATAAAAATCAAGCATTAACTATGTCAGGCATTGTGCTAGATGTTTCGTATATTTCATTTAACTTTGATGAGAAATTTATGAGGTGATGACCAAATTCTCCTAAGAGCGCACAAACCTGCTTCCAAACAGTGTATGGTTATGCTTTTCAGAGACTAAGCCCAGAGAATCATGATAAAGACCAATGTGTGTAAACCCCTTTGTGTACAGATTATGTCTTTAGGTGGTCAACTGACCCCCAACCTATTACATTGTTCCTATTAACTACATTCTGGCTAAATTTAATTTTGCTGTTTGCCTTGACACTTCTTGTGTCATTTTCCTCATCCCTAGGCCTGAACATGCTTTTCTTTCTGCCTGGAATTCTCTATACCCTATGTTCTTCTTGCCTTTCCTTTTGGCTTCATGTGACTTCCTCCTGGAAACCCAAATATTATGATTTAGATTGAAAGTGTTCTCCTAAAGTCTCTTGTGTTTGGGAGGTGATTGCATCATGAAGGAGCTATACTCAGCAGTGGATCTGGGCTTATGTACATGTCTTGCTTTCTGCCAATCTGAGTGTGCTGTTAAAAGGTGGAGCCTGGTTGGAGGTAGGGGAGTGTGAGTGGGGAAAGTGTGTTTTTTGTTGCCAGCTCTTTCCTTCCCTCTCTGCTTCCTGGCTGCCATGGGTTGAGCAGCTTTTCCTCTGCCATGGCCCTCTGCCATCCTGTTTCTTCCTTGGAGCCAGCCGACAATGGACTGAAACTATGAGCCAAAACACATCTTTCTTCCTTTAAGTTGTAGGTGTCAGGCATTTTGTCCTAGTGACTAGAAAGTGGCTAATACACAGAGGGGCCCAATTATGGCTTGTGAATTGCTTGCTTGACTCAGTTTCCTTGAGCCCCATGAGGACAGGAACCACGTTCAGCTTTATGCTGCTGAAACTAGCACTGTGCCTGTAACACAGCATGTGCTTAACAGATGACTGTTAAATAAATGAATGAATCAATTCAAAGAACTTTCTTTTGGACTGTACATTCATATCTTCCTGGGGGTACAGGTCACTTTCTCCTCCATGGTGAGCAATGCTTTGTGAGGAAGTGTAAGAAGCACTCCCAGATCGCCTCTTTCCATGCTCCGTAGACTTGATTTTCTCAGCTCTGATTTCAAGGCCATGATTCAGGGTGTCCTCCTCTTCTAGGCATTTGCTGTCCCCACAGCACTTAGCAGGGTACAGTAGAAACAATATTATACAGGGAATCAGAAGAACTATGTTCTGAGTTCCATGCTGTGAGGGTTTTTTTATGAATCACAAAAACCTTTGAAGCCTCACCTTCCTTAACTCTGTTTTAGAATAATCGTTTCTTCAAGTTGTTATCAAGACAAAAGGAAATAAAGAATGTGAAAATGCAACAGTGACACACATACAAAACCTGAGACAGATAAAAGCATGGGATGAGCATGAATAACACTGAAATCCAAAGCTCTTGCCTGTGCCCCAGACCTGAAAGTTCTGTCTCATCAGAAGAGATGAACTCATCTCTCCCGGACTCTCAGACGCATTTACAAACTTCAGCTTATCCTCTTTGTTGTGCTCTCTACTGCTCTCTATCAAGCCACCACAACACTGTGGTTTAAAATAACAGCAATCATTGCTTTTGTCCATTAATCTGAATGCAGACTGTGCCCAGCACTTCTCACTCAGGGAATCCCATGTGCTTACAGCAGGATCGTGGTGGAGCCCAAGGTCATGTCAAAGCTTTTTTCACTCAAGTGGCTGGGGGCTACACTGAGGAAGACACTAACACCTACGTGCCTAGCATCACACTTCTGAAGCCTCTGAATGTGTCCCAAGGGAAACAGGCGAACACGGCATGGCCATTCCTTTCATACCTTTGCAAGTCACACTTCTGCATTCTGCTCATTGAGGCAGCCATCAAGCCCTATCCACTTTCAAGGGGAGGGGATTTCCCCTTGATGGGATGAGTATAAAAAATTAGCAGACTTTAAAACACTTCTGCAAACCTTCCTGTCCACCAGCATCCTGTTTGTCCACTGTTCCCTGGCTCAATACACACCATCTCCATTTGTCTAGTTGCTCAGGCCAGAATTCTAAGAGTTTCTATTCTTTGTCTATCACATCAAATGAATAAATTTATTAATACCACCTTCAAAAGTAAGGGCCGGGGATTTAGCTCAGTGGTTCCACCACCTGCCTCGCAAGCGCAAGGTTCTGAGTTCAATCCCTGGTGACAAAAAAACAAAAAAAAATAGCTCTGAAGTACATCAAATTCCATCCACTCCCACTGCAATCTATCCCAGTCAAAGCTAACACTTTCTCTTATCACCAGTTATAATACTTACCTATCCTAGCTGCTCTTTCTTCTCCATTCTCTCAATCTAGCTTATTCTGCACACTGCCATTGATATACATTTTCTCCAGTGATTATCTGCCTATTGCACCTTTTTGTTTAAAACTTCTCCATAACTGCTATGTTGAATGAGAGAGCAGAAATCCCGAGTATGAAACTCCTACATCATAATATTTTCATCTCCAAGCCTTACCCAGTGTATGCTCCTTTTACCTCTTTAAATGAATCTTGCTTTTGATGTCTATGAAAATTTGATACTATTTTTTCTTTTACCCTCTGGCTGGAACACTCATTATTCCCAGTCCTCATCTTTCCCTGGCTTAATCCTACTTATACTAATTCCTACACACATTTCTATGCAGACATTTGTGACACCCAAACTTAAGTGATATGCCTCCATTTACATGCCTCTTTAGCATTCCATATTTTCCTTATCCTAACACTCATCAGCTGCAGTGGAATCCACGGACTGTCTCTATTCTTGGAGTGGAAACTCCTTAAAGGAAGGAGCTATCTCCATCCACATAGTAAGTGCTCACTGTAAGCTATTAAGATAAGTGAATAAATGAGTAAGTTGATGTACATATGTATATGTGTAATGGAGAGATGATAGCTAGATAGAGAGATGGTAGGAATAAGTTATGAGACATTTT